AGTGATCTGACATCGGGTGTAAAATACTGCTGCTTGTGATTAGATTGGCCTATGGATTTCAGATTTTATCAGAGCAGCTCATCGTGCAAGCATGGCATAGATGGTTCCGGCACTGTAGGACCGTGAGGAATGGTGCCAGTTTGGGGGGGGGGGGGGCGTCGTCCATTGGTGGATAGAACATGGTTCATGATCATGGAAAATCATGGTTATGGTGTGACCTAACACCATTTTCAGAGTCGAGATTAAATTAATTATTCGTATGATTTGGGGAATAATTGAATCATTTGGCGGGACCCCGGGGTCCCGCCAATTGCTTCAATGGCTTAAGTGCAATCGTCTTTGTAAGCAGCACTCGAAAAAATAATATAATCAGTTCTTTTGACCCTCACCCCACCCCACGTCCCAAGATCTCACCCCTATAACCACACACTCCCCCACCCCCAACGCTCCATCTCCTCCCTCTGACCCCCATCACCCCTCTAACATAAACCATACGAAGACAAAGATCCTCCGTATAGCATTAACAGACTGTTGATGCAAGTGCTGTTATGTGAACACCTATGAAGGCCGGCACGGCACAAGAGGGGTGGGTGGCCAGCACCACGCCCGGCCGTCTTTGTTTCTCCAGTGCCGATGTTTACACACCGCACCAGGTACTCATTTGAGGCTGAGTAGACCTGGAGGAGGCTCAGGACCGGTTCAGATAATCGTCACCGGTGTCGACTGTGAGCGGGAATCGAACTCGGGTCGCCGACTTCGCATCGCAGCGCGCTAACCACTGCACTACCGCTCCCCAACCTGACGGACACACACACACAACACACACTCTCACACACACACACACCATCGCAGCGAATTCCACACTACCCACCCCACCCCCCTATCGCATCACGCCTCCCCTCCCCCTTGCACACCCCCCCCCTTCCCAACTGCCCCAGCCCCTCGCCCCTGCCTTGTTTGGAGATAGGAGAAATCAGAGCTATAATTAAAATCTCGGAGGCATGCGTCTTGGCGCTGGCTGCCCGTCTCGGCCTTCATCCCCACGCGTCCTCCGTTCACCCCGAGGTGCTGCGTCCATCACGAGTGAAGCCGCCAAACGGTGTGGACGCGCTGTCTCGCGGCGAATGATTTTGGCCACGACACATCCACGCAAACCTTCGTCCTGAACCTGTTCGTAAGGCTGTAGCAATACGGGGCCACGGTAATGTATGGTTGTTATGGGGGGGGGTATGCATTCCTTGTACTCTCGTGGTAGTGCCTTACGCCGATATTCCCTGCACCGGCCTAGAGGCGTTCCGGAAAATACCGGGTGAGAAAAACGGTAATATCGCGGTCAACTGAAGTAGTATCACATTCAACTGCAGTAATATCGCGGTCAACTGAAGTAGTATCACATTCAACTGCAGTAATATCGCTGTCAACTGAAGCAATATCACTTTCAACTGCAGTAATATCGCTGTCAACTGAAGTAGTATCACATTCAACTGCAGTGATATCGCTGTCAACTGAAGCAATATCACTGTCAACTGCAGTAATATCGCGGTCAACTGAAGTAGTATCACATTCAACTGCAGTAATATCGCTGTCAACTGAAGCAATATCACTTTCAACTGCAGTAATATCGCTGTCAACTGAAGTAGTATCACATTCAACTGCAGTAATATCGCTGTCAACTGAAGCAATATCACTGTCAACTGCAGTAATATCGCGGTCAACTGAAGTAGTATCACATTCAACTGCAGTAATATCGCTGTCAACTGAAGCAATATCACTTTCAACTGCAGTAATATCGCTGTCAACTGAAGCAATATCACTGTCAACTGCAGTAATATCGCTGTCAACTGAAATAGTATCACTTTCAACTGCAGTAATATCGCGGTCAACTGAAGTAGTATCACTTTCAACTGCAGTAATATCGCTGTCAACTGAAGCAATATCACTGTCAACTTAAGTAATGTCACTGTCAATTGCAATGCTAATAATGTCATTACACGTATTGTAAATAATACAGTTAAAATGTATACAAATATTACTGATACTTGCCATTATTAGTCGTGTACATTATTCGTGTTATATTAATACTAGTGATCTTTTTCAGGAGGGTCCTGCCACACTGAGACACAGCACCTGGATTGGTGTGTAAGGGAACTGGAGAAGCTGGATACAACCCACCGGGCATACGAAAGCTACGCACGGATGCATTCAAGATTCCACTACTAAGAATGCTATCTTCTGGCCTCCTCACGGCACAAGCCCACAACATCCAAAGTATTCGCAGGAAGTCTCTCATCCAAGGATTATCCAGGCTCAAATCCTTGCTTAGCCACCGAGTTCCGGGTACATTCGGGGTGAATCGTCTTGTTGCCAAACTTCTGAGTGAATGGTTTTTTTTTACGGGGCCGCTGGTAAACTTTAAAATGTCGCTTCAAGGATGCCTCGCAATCTTCCAATTGCAGTGAGGTGCCTGATTTCGTTATCGGATCTGTTGCGCCACATCTAAATTCCACATGACTGTGGCCGAGCTAAATTAAAACTTAACACGGTCCACTGAAGGCTTTACGACTAATTGGTGGCCTCCTCACTTAGGTGGTTGTAATGATGATGATGACGACTGCATTCATTAGATGGTGATTATTTTTGTACTACGGTTGTGTATAATTGATCACGATGCGTACAGATACTTGATGATGATTGCATTTAATAGACAATGATACAGATATGTATATGATGATTCTAATAATTAATTCATGGTGATGAGGATTAGACTTAGCTGATCATACAATATATGAAGACCGTGATAATGATAATATATGTATTTTATGATTATGAATTCATTTAATAAATTCATGATGATATCACTTAACATACGATGTGCCGATTATGTGATAGACATCATCAGAATTCAACATCCCTGTGGCAGAGACGAAATTATCTTTAACACAGGCAACTCACTGGCTTGGCCACTGCTGTAATCGATGCACCCCTCAACAGCTACCGATCACGATGGTTATTGGGAGTAACCCGTCCCAAGATCAGCGTCCGAAGCTCCGCTACTGCACGAGCGCAGGAACAACAACAACAACAACAAACACATCGACCAACAAGACGCCTCCATAGCCCCCGGCACCTATCGCTAGACGCAAACAAACGCATCGCGCCTGCATGCCCCACGACAAAACGCGCGTCCACACGCGGCGTTGCCTCTTGACGCCTGACAGAGACGAGTCGCCTCTTTGCCGAGAGTCCCTTACTGATGCGCGCCTCTTAGCCCTGGGGTAGGCAAACGCCAAACAACAACATTCGGTAGTTTGAAGGGAAAAAACAATTCATAATATTTCAAGAGCCGCTATGCACGCGTGAATACGAGACGGCGATTGTCCTTAGTAAGAATACAAAAAAAACGTCCCGATGCAGTTCTTGAAGAGCCGCATGCGACTCCGGAAGCGCGGGTTTCCGACCTCTGTCTTAGACCGAGCAGACACGACGCCGATAAACAAACCATTTGCTGATGCTTCGTTGGCGGTGGTGCACAATCACAGTTAGCAACAAAACAACCACTCGTCCATAATACCGCGGCCTTCAACGGCAAAAAAAAACCCATATCATAGGCGACGTTTCAGACAATGACCCTTCTTCCTCATAGCACACAAATCATTATTTACAATCATGAAAGGCCATCAATATTTTGTTGTCCTTTCACGGCACTGCGGATCGCCACTTCCACCTGGGACCGCGTGGCGCCCAGAGATCTGCGGGTTCAGAATTAGACTCCTCAGTCACCTCAAGAGCCAGCCACCAAACCTGATGGACGTCGTCCGCGAACCCCGAGGGACTGCCGACGACTGTTATTAACTATATATATTTTATAGATCAACGCATGTGAGATGCTGTGACGCGTGATACGCGTGCAAGACACCGGCCTGCCTGTCCCTCTGTCTTTCACGTGTCCGTCCTTTGTCTCAGGCTGCTTTCTCAATCATTCTCCTGCTCATTTCCTCTTAGCCCTGTCTATCGTTACTCGCTTTGACTGTCTCCCACTGCGTCTCTCCGTCTGCACTCTTCCATTCATCTTCTCGTCTGTCTCTCGTTCTCACTGTCACTCATTCTCTGTCATCTGTCTCTCGTTCTCTCTCCTCTGCATCTCTCATTCTCTCTCCTCTGCATCTCTCATTCTCTCTCTCCTCTGCATCTCTCATTCTCTCTCCTCCGCACCTCTCACTCTCTCTCTCCCCTGCATCTCTCATTCTCTCTCCCCTGCATCTCTCACTCTCTCTCCTGCATCTCTCATTCTTTCTCCCCTGCATCTCTCATTCTCTCTCTCCTCCACATCTCTCATTCTCTCTCTCCTCCGCATCTCTCATTCTCTCTCCTCCGCATCTCTCACTCTCTCCTCCACATCTCTCACTCTCTCCTCCGCAACTCTCATTCTCTCTCTCCTGCATCTCTCACTCTCTCTCCCCTGCATCTCTCATTCTCTCTCCCCTGCATCTCTCACTCTCTCTCCCCTGCATCTCTCATTCTCTCTCCCCTGCATCTTTAATTCTCTCTCCCCTACATCTCTCACTCTCTCTCCCCTACATCTCTCACTCTCTCTCTCCTGCATCTTTCATTCTCTCTCCCCTGCATCTCTCACTCTCTCTCTCCTGCATCTTTCATTCTCTCTCCCCTGCATCTCTCACTCTCTCTCCCCTGCATCTCTCATTCTCTCTCCCCTACATCTCTCACTCTCTCTCCCCTGCATCTCTCATTCTCTCTCCCCTGCATCTTTAATTCTCTCTCCCCTACATCTCTCACTCTCTCTCCCCTACATCTCTCACTCTCTCTCCCCTGCATCTTTAATTTTCTCTCCCCTGCATCTCTCACTCTCTCTCCCCTGCATCTCTCACTCTCTCTCCCCTGCATCTCTCACTCTCTCCACCTGCATCTCTCACTCTCTCTCCCCTGCATCTTTAATTCTCTCTCCCCTGCATCTCTCGTGCCCTCGCCTCATTGTCTCTCACCTCGGACGGGAGAGGAGAGACGAGGGGAGAGTCGGCAGGCGGTGTGGCCACGCAGAGTCTAAGCTTTGCCTCGAGTCCGGAGTGGAATATAAAGCCCCCAAACCCCACAACCCCACGAGAACACGCGCGTGAGATCAAGGCGGTGCTGGCGAGGGGGGAGGGAACACCAGGAGAGGATGGAGGAGGAGGTGGTGGATGGGAGGTGGGTGAGTGAGTGCGTGCTGTTGATGGTGGTGTTAAGTTCTTGGTTTATTCTTGGCTAGGAAGGAGAGATACGTTTTTGGTTGAGGGGATTAGGTGGGTGGGAGGGTGGATGGGTGGGTGGTGGGGGGGTGTAACAGAGATGATGAGGCGGCTGATGAGGGTATGTGGGTCGATGAGTTGCGCTGGGAGATAGATTGTGGGAATGTGTGGGGCTATGCGAGAGGCAGGGATGTGTCCCGAACATTCTGTGTGCGCGTGTATGTTTACGTGTGTGCGCGTGTGCGCGTGTATGTTTACGTGTGTGTGCGCGTGTATGTTTACGTGTGTGTGCGCGTGTATGTTTACGTGTGCGTGTGTCCCTGTCGTTCAATCGATAAGTCCTCCTCCTCCCTTAAAAGTCGCTGAGCAAAGCGCGCGGGGGGGGGGGGGCTAATTATACAGGCGTTGACTTCAGCACAACTTTGCGAGCGTCTCTGACCCTGCGTTTGGGGTAAGGCACGGAACGCGGCGCCTTCACATCTGCGGCGGGATCGTCGCTGCAAAGATTTACCCAGAGGGGGTCACCCACTTCGTGTCCTATGCGCCGGGCGGGTCGCATTCATCGCGCCTGCGTGTGTGGTTACTACGGGCGCTGGGTTTGAATCCACTGCTGGATGAGCGCGACTCTCCACACCTGTGCGGTGGTCGGGGGAGAGCGGCGCGGGGGAGTGATTTGGCCACACGTTCAGCACGCTGCGCGGCAGTGCTGATTATGTGAAGGCGGGGAACATAGAAGCGCCGCTTAACAACAGATGTGGCGACGCTTGCCCCTCCGCGTTCCCCCTTAACCGTGGCAACGCAGCAGCCTTTACCGACCCATGTTGTCCATATTGCGGTCGTCCATCCAAAACAAATGCAAAGATGCCCCGTATCTCATGGGCCCTTTTTTCTGCCAGTATCAAAGTATGCCCCGTATAGCCTGAACAGACTGTTGGGGCAAGCGCTGTTAGCCAGTAGTGCCTAAGAAGGCCGGCACGGCACACGAGGGGTTGGGTGGCCAGCACCACGCCCGGCCACCTTTGTCTCACCAGTGCTGATGCCTATACACCGCACCAGAGTACTCATTTGAGGCTGAGTCTACCTAGGGGGAGGTCCAAAACCGGCTCAAATATTCGTCACTGGCGTTGGCCGTGTGCGGGAATCGAACTCGGGTGGCCGGGTTCGTAGGGCAGTCGTCCATCCAACCCACGCGTAGCTTCTGAGATCTGACCAGATCGGCCCCAATCAGGGTGATTTGATCGCAAGGCCTGGTAATTATTGCTGGGCAGCTAATTAATTCAATTAAGGGAGAGATTGTTCGGCTTAGTGATACTTTCACCCAGCAGTGGATTTATGATCGTGACTACTTATGATGATGATGATGGCGAATTGTGAGCATGTTGTCAGATGTAAGCCACAGCCGGTCACAGGCGGGGGGCTACGTTGCTTTCTCGATGTTGCCCAGAGCACTGCCCCGTGGTGGGGGGGGGGGGGGCTGGATTCAAGTCTGGACCTTATCGGCGTAAGGTGGTGCGAGGCACATAGCCTCTCTCCAGAATCATTGGACGTGATTCCGAGAATCCGATGATATGGCAAGGAGCACGGGGAAGAAATAAGGCGAGATGTTCGAGACGTGCCGATACAATTCCAGAAGCAGCCCCTCCGGACCTGTTCTGGATGAAACTAAAGCACTTGGTACGCTCAGCACGTCCGTCCATATCACAGTGTGGCTGTGAAGAGAAAACAATATCTAAAAGACGACATTTGGGGCAATGAACCTTCTTCATAGCACAGAGATATAGAGATGTCAGATATATCTATCATATTTCCACTGTATCGCTCTCTCTCTCTCTCTGGCCTGTATATCTCTTTGCTATGAAGAAGCGCAATCTCCGAAAACGTCGTCTATTATATACAGATTTCCTTTCAAGGCCACAGTAGTTATAGTTTATTATTGTTTGTCAATTGTGTTTATGCACCACACTGCCAACGCAGCCGCAGCAGCAGCAGCATCGCCAAAGTGTTTGTGTAATGAGTAATGACGAGTGGATCATTGTGCAGGTGGTCGTCAAGAAGCGAGGGGAGGTCACACGCTGGGAATGTGACGAGGGGAGGGGCGTCGGGGAGGTTCTAAGAAGGGGCAGAACAAGAAAGTGGAGGTGCCTCTTTGTGTCTGGTTAGAAGGAGAGGCCCTGGGTGGTCAATGGAGACCAACCGTGGATGAATGTTATATAGAGTGTTCCCGACAACCCTTTGCCAATGGACGACTGGGCGAGAGCCTGCCCACGCCGTGTGAGTTGTGAGGTTTGTTTGACTCTAACTCGCTGTGCTTCGTTTGTGTTCAGCTTGTTGCCCTTCCCGCGCACCTCCGCTCGGCACGGTTGGCTACGTACGGTGCGTAAGAAGTTCAACATACAGACATACATACGCCGCGTAGTCAGCGCGGGTTGCTGACGTCGTTGATAAAACGTGGAAGGAAACTCGGCACTGTTATCCACAACGTAGACCCAAAACCTCAACACGACCTCTGTCATGCGCGGTGATCACCCCCCCCCCCTCCCCACTTCTCTTCCGAGATCTAGCGAGATGACCGTGCCTGCCATTCCGGATGGTTCGGTGAGCGACGCAACGGCGCAACCAGCACCGAGCGGCTCACGTATCGCGTCGTCACTGATGTTAGCCGTGCGGCTAACCTCTGTTGTCCTTATCACGCACCCGCGATCAGCACGGTTGGCCTACGTACGCCGCGAAAGAAGTTCAACAGACATCCGTACATACGTACTGAGAGCCACCGCTACGAATCGGAGTCGGCGTATACCGCCAATAAGCAGGAACCGGCTTGTTTCGGTGTGGTAATAAAGTGGCGACGGGGAACGCGGTGGCCTGGAACGAATGATGTGAGCATCACGGAGTGGGGGTTATATTGCTCGGGGTCATTAACTCGACGATGTTTGTGGCTTCCACTTCGGCACCACCAATGTTGGGCAACCGACGTCGCCGATGGCAGTGGGCGTTGCGTTGTTGGCTTGGCTCTGGTGCAAGGAATGAAATGTTCGGGTCTACCTGCAGCCCTGCCCGCCGAAGGCTCAAACCGCTTGGCTTCCGAGATCCGATGGGATTTGGTTCCTTCGGCGTGCAGTGTTTAGCAGCGCATTTTCTGCTTTTGTTGTTGTTGTCAGAATGACATGGCTGTTGTGAGCAAGGTCACATTTGATCTCAAATTGTCGTCATATATACTATCCACTCGTCTACTCTATTTTAATGCGAGCATTCTAATTTACCTACGTAGTCAATTCGTGACCTACGACCCCGTGAACGACGCTGACCGCGCCCGATCTTGTCGGATCTCGGAAGCTAATCCACATCTGAGCCCGATTCGTCCTTGGATGTGTGGCCGCTCGGGCTGAATGCCAGGTGTTTGTCAACACGGTGGCGAGATGTGAACTACCTCGCCTGGAGGTCGTGTGTTCGATCCCGACCCTGACGCCTGCTGTATATTTGGAGTTTGCGGTGTCTCTCGTCCCGTGGTTGCGTGAATTTTTATCCGGGTCCCTCTGGTTTTCACCTCTACATTTAGAAACGTGCGTCTAGCTAGAGTTGTTGACGTAATAATCCACTTCGCTGGGCTATCACTTGCGGAGAGTTCGCTTCTGAAAAAGAACTATATAAGGCATGCGGGCCGCCAGGTGTGGCCAGGAGATAGCGATGTTGAATGTTGCCCCCCTCGTCTGCAGAGTGTGGGTTGTTCTGGAACGGAGCTTTGGGCGGGGGAGCGCAAGAGTGCTTTGCCTTCATATAAATGCATGTATATTGAACTTCTTTTGCGCCGTACGTAGCCAACCGTGTTTTATCGGAGGTGCGGAGGAAGGACGACAAACTACACACAAAAAGCAGTTCTAAATAAATTACGGATCGATGTAGATTGACAAATGCATCGCTCCAAGTGGCTTCCTAATATCGGACGGAAGAGCGTTCCAGACGGCCGCAGAGAAGCGCGTCTGGAAGCGCGCGATGCGGTGACCACCGCCTTTGTTCGATACCGGTGGTGTGAACAAGCTGCCCCATTTGGGAAAGCGAAGGGGTGGGGGTGGAGGGGAGAGGACTCCCATTCTCTGAATGAACACGAAAGTGTCCGCGAGACGTGGCACGAGGACTCTCTGCAAGCGGCTGGAGAGCGGCGGGGCAGTGGTTTGCGCGTGCGTTCTCGGCCACGTTAGTTTCCGTTCAACGTATCAAAGTAATTATCTCTCTCTGTCTGTCTCATCGCGTGCGAAAGTGACATTGCTCACGCACCATAACGCGCGACCCCGAGACCGATACGCTCATTGTTACGCGACTGTTGCACTTGACAGCTGTGCCCTCATATTCTTGGTTCTTTCGGTAAAGAACTGCCCTCATTCGTGCAGTCATCTCAATCATCGCTGACCGTCGGCAACGCCGCCTGTTCCATGCAATTCAACTGTTGAGCGCAATCCTCATCGGCACCAGCACATCACCGTTGTTTATTTCACGAAGTATTCGGTTGGGGTTCAATTGCCATCACCACCATGCAGCTGGGTTTAAGTCATGCGCATCCATTGTTATATTACGATTTTTTATTATTATAGTAACATAAAACTAGACTAAAAAAACTATTAACATTTTATTTTACCAGGTAAGGCCCCCTAAGCTTTATAGCTCTTTTTCAGACGCGACCTGGCCACAAACGTTAACTTGATAAGACAGAGGAACGGGTGGATTAGAATACATACCGATTCAAAGTGTAAAGATAAGTGAATGGGCTTGGGCAGGACGCTTCCCTAGTCAACAATGACGGGCGTTGATCAAATAATAATAACGGAGCAAGACAGCCAACAAGGAACTGAAGGCGTCTGAGAGGCTCATTCACCGAAGAGATTTGAGCGAATAAATCCGCTCGTGGGCGC